TTTAGAAGGACTGAACGGCCTACACTGCTCCTGTTTAGTCTTACAAGTGCTCTTGGTGAGATTGAATGTGCTGAATGTACTCTCTCCCAGTTTCTGGAGTCTGCTGTGGGCTCCTGATGTGGTTTTTTGTTGTTGTTGGTTTTTGGTTTTTGGGTTTTTTTGGCCGGTTGTGGGCCTGAACTCTGGCCTGGACGCTGTCCTTCAGCTCTTCATCTCAAGGCTGGTGCCCTACCATTTGAGCCACACTACCACTCTGGCCCTTTCTGCTTACATGGTGCTGAGGAATCAGATCCAGCGCCTCATGCACACAAGGCAAGCACTCTATTGCTGAGCCACCTACCAGCCTGAGCTCCTGACTATTAACAGGTGCTGGCTGCCTGAGTTGTCCAATTCCTGGCCTGGGATATATGGGTTGGGTTCTGGTGGGTTCTGGTTCTCTTTCCCTGGACACCCAGGTCTTTTACTGTCATGGACGTGATTCCCAGGGGTTGCAGTTCCCTGTTTTCTCCCCTCTGCTGATGCGTATATTCAGCTTCTGACTTCATTTGGGAGGAGTTGGTTGTGTTGCTCAGGCACGGGATCCCCAGGCCTGGTCCTGGCTCCTGGTCCCCTGCCTTGGGCATAGTGTTGGACCTATGCTGCTGTGTATCCCGCTGGGTTACACAGCCTGGAGTATACAGTTCAAGTTTCTTCCACTGTTGGCTGTTGTGACCCAGGGGCACTGTTCCTGGCTTGGGTGTTTCAGCTCCGTTCCAAGGGTGCTCTTGATCTAGCCTGGATGACTGGGTGTGCTCCATGGGCTGGTGGAGCTCTCAAACAGTTCCCAGTTTTAGTGGGTCCTGTAGTCTAGGTGTTGAGGTAGGGGTCTGGGTCAAGGTCTGGGGGTTCCTACCAGCTCTGGTCTCCCTTGAGGGATACACTATTCCCTGCAGTGTACTCACCCTGGAGCTAGTTGTTGTTTTTGTGTGATGTAGGTCACCGGTTGCTGCTTCAATCAGAGTTCACTTGAGATGCTTGTGGGCTGGGCTGGTGGGTGGTGGCTCTGTGTGTTTCTCCTCTGTTTCTGGATCTGTTGGTGCTGTTTGGGTTTGCGCTGAGGGATGGGCCTCTGGTCGAGGGGTGGGGAAGGGTTCTCAGTCTCAGTGCAAGTTCTAAGCGTTGGGGTTTGTCTCTGTTTGCGCTCTCCGGATCAGCAGCAGTACCTTGAAGGTCTTCTGCTCTGGTGTTCTGTGGGCAATCCGTGTAGTTATGGGGTTTCTGCCGTGGGGCCAGGTGGGTTGGAGGGATGGAGCCCCTCTGCTTGGAGAGTGAGGGGTGGGATTAGGATCTTTGTACAAGCTTCTGGCTCAGAGGTTTCTCTGTTCATGATGATCAGCAGGTCTGACACTGAGGTACCTCAGGCGTCTTCTGCTCGGGTGACCTGCAGATGACCCCCTGTGTCTCTGGGGATCAGCCCCCCGCTGGGCCGGGCTGGCTGCGCAGCCAGTAAAGGTTGGGGGAGGGGTTTTCATGTTTCCCCACCTCCTGTTTTTCTCTGGGTGTTCGTCTTTTTGTTGTTGTCGGTCTCGGGAAAATTAAGCATTGGAACATGAACTCTCTTTTTGGTTGGAGAGAGCTGTGGCGTTTCCCTACTGTCCCGCTGCCATCTTGGTGTCCCCTCTCTGAAAGACATTTTTAAATGGTGTCAATAAATGTAGAGATAACTTGGTAACATAATCTTTTACCTGAAATTATTTGTAGTTTTTCTTAAAATTGTAGTCATGTTCTGGGCACTAACTGATGTTAGAGTTTATATAGATTGAATGGTATTTTCTGTGAAAGTTAGGTATAAAACCATCTATAAGCCAGGCACCAGTGGCTCAGACCTATTATCCTAGCTACTTAGGAGGCTGAGATCCAAGGATCATGGTTCAAAGCCTGCCTGGGCAAGAAAAGTCCGTGAGACTGTTATCTCCAATAAACCATCAGAAAACCAGAAGTGGTGCTGTGGCTCAAGTGGTAGAGTTCTCACCTTGAGCTGAAGAGCTGAGGGACAGTGTCCAGGCCCAGAGTTCATGCCCCTTGACCAACAAGAACAAAAAGAATCTGAGCCTAGTGCTTTCCACTTGGAATATGCTTCTTTGTTAAACTATTTATTCCTTCTGCCAATTAGAAAGTTATTTTTGAATTGGTCAACTCATGTAATTTTTTCAAATGTATTATTATAATATCTTTATTGCCTTTAAATTCTGTTATATTTTTAGTTGTAACTACTATTTCAGTTAAAACATGATTTGATTACTATTTCAGTTAAAACATTGTTTGATTATGTTTTATCTTTTTTTTTTTTCTGCCAGTCATGGAGCCTCAACTCAGGGCCTGGGCACTATCTCTGAGCTTCATTTTTGCTCAAGGCTAGCACTCTACCACTTGAGCCACAACACCAATTCCAGCTTTTTCTGTTTATGTGGTACTTAAGAATCAAACCCAGGGCTTCATCCATGAATGGCAAGTACTCTATCACAGAGCCACATTCTTGGCCCAGTATTTTTTTTATCTTTTATGGAAAAATTATGTTTCTCTTCAAAGAAACAACTTATATTTACTATATACTGCCATCTGTTTTGAGATTTTATTATCATCATTGTCATGATTATCATTAATTGGTATTAGTTCTAGGGCTTGAACTCAGGGCCTACACGCTGTCCTGAGATTTTTTTTTGGTCAAGGCTAGCACTATACTACTTGAACAACAGCTTCACTTCTGGTTCTTTTTGCCGGGAAGGGGTACTTAATTGGAGAGAAGAGTCTCAAGGCCTTTTTTGTCTGGGCTGGCTTCAAACCATGATCCTCAGATCTCAGCTTTCTGAGTAGCTAAGATTACAGGTGTTAATCACTGGCACCTGATTGTTTTGTAGTCCTTTTTCTGAACTTTTTTTTTGGTCAGTAATGGGTCTTGAACTCTGGGTACTGTCCCTGAGCTCTTCAGCTCAAGGTAAGCACTCTACCACTTGAGCCACAGCGCCACTTCTGGTTTTCTGCTGGTTAATTGGAGATAAGAGTCTCATGGACATTCCTGCCTGGGCTCTCTGCTTTGAACTGCAGTTCTTGGCTGTCAGCCTCCTGAGTAGCTAGGATTACAGGTGTGAGCCACTGGCACCTGGCTTTAAACTCTTCTTTTTTTTTTTCTTTTTCTTTTTCACTTTATTTTATTATAAAGTTGATGTACAGAGGGGTTACAGTTACATGAGTAAGGTAATGAGTATATTTCTTGTCGAGCATTCTTACCCTCTCCTTTGTTGTTCTCCCACTATCCCTTCCTTCCTTCACCTCCCACTTCCTTCCACTCCTCCCACTTTATACTCTTAAGTTGACAAATTCAGCTTTTATAATTCTCATCTAACTTGCAGTCAAAGAACATGGTTGGTGTGAGGCCTAGCCTTGAAAATTTATAGAAACTGTCTTTGTGCCTTGCAGATAATAAATTTGTAAATAATTTTGATGTATTTGTAAAAGATATAATTAGGATTTTATATGGGATTATCTGATAGTTGTGTTCGTCTTTTTTTTAACCTAATGCTTGCTAAGCATATATATATATATGAATATTTCTTTCATAAAGTATACTTTTTTAAAAGTGAAACTTGAGTCAGAGCTTATACATAAATTTTTATTATTTAATTTCTTCTCAAACCATATTGTACTGGAAACTCTTAATACATTGCTGGGAGTGTAAATTTGTACAACTCCTTTGGAAAGCTAGAAATACCTAAAGCTGAACATTTAAGCATACTATAGTTCAGCAACTTACTCTTTAGGTATATATCCAACATAAATACGTATATTTATGTTCACTTGAAGATATAGTCAAATGTTCATAGTAGTCCTGTTTCAGTATTCGGAAACTATACATTATCCAGTATCTACCAATAATATAAATAAGTACATTTTAAAAATTGATAAATTATATTTTAATAAAATAATACTCTAGGCAAAGAAGATGAACATCTGCTAAATACAAACTGTTGAAATAAAGTTAAACATAAAAGTATATTTTGTATAATTCCATTTAATTAAGGTTCACAAAATGATGAGATCAGATACCAGAAAAGTGATGTTTTTTTAAGGAAAGAGAAATATTAGGAATGGAGTACTTGGAATCCTGGTTATGCTCCATTTTTTGTATTGTTGAGTTTTCAGTGAGCTAGCTATACCTTATGACCTTTTTCTTTCTCTATTTGCACTGTACTTCAGTAAAAAGTTTGCAATAAAATAAGCATAGCATCCCTTTTAAACTCCTACAAATATTACATCATTTCCCAAATTCTTGTCACTTAGATATGAAAAGAACCACAAAAGAACCTTCTTGAGTCCCTACTTCTCCAACAGTCTAACTTCTTAGAACAAAATCTGCCTCATTAGCTCTAAATTTTTACTTGGATATTCTCTTTTTTTTGATGAGTCTACTCTTGGAATGTCTTTGAACAATGTTTTCAATAAAATAAAAATAGTTTATCCATGCTAATATGTTACTCTTAGTTTGTACATTTTTACAATGTAAAGAGAAGCATAATAAAGAATGGGATTTTTTAAATTTTTTATTATCTTTAAGTAGTACAAAAAAGTTCCCATTCTACAAAACAGTATATGAATACAAAGTGTCTATTAACATTGTCAAAAATGGGATATGTTTTATTTGTGGTAAAATTGCATTTAATTTTGTCTGTCTTATGATTTTATATAGTTGTCTTTAGAAACCAGTGTTCTGCATGCTATATACTTTTTTCAATAGTTCCAAATTTCTAGGTGATCTCTAACTAAAGTATTTGGTTATAGTAACCCAACTATAGTCTGATACAGTCTCACCATTGTCTGTTGTTTCATGCTTTTGGTGGGGATACCTTAGTGAAATAATGTATTTATATATGTCTTAGATTTATTCTACTTTAAATTCTTTATTCTGAAATAGCCTGTGAATATTTTTTACTGATTCCTGTTTTTTGTTTTAATATGTTATTCAGACGCTCTGCTGTTGCTCGCATTCAGGAGTTCTTCAGGAGGAGAAAAGAAAGAAAAGAAATGGAAGAACTGGATACTTTGAACATTAGAAGGCCATTAGTAAAGATGGTTTATAAGGGCCATCGCAACTCCAGGACAATGGTACTAAATGCTTATGGCATTCTTCATGAAATGCAGTTTCATAAAATGTTTCTTGCATAATTATTATCCTCATATATTACCAGTGTGATTTCAGTGTAACACTGAATCTTCATAGTCATCCCTAATGTTTTTTAAATCCTATATCATATTGTGAAAGACTATCTTTTAACCTTTACTTTTGTTTTATAAGAAAACTAGCCTACTGAAGAAAATATATGGAATTCTTTTAATTTTTTAACAAGAAACTATTGCTCTCTTTTCTTTCTCTTTAGATAAGGTGGTATCTAAAATCCATAAATCCAATGCATTATTATTTAATAATAGACCCTTTCAGATAATTCTATAATAACTATTTTACTCTGAGCTACTCATAAAATTTGTTCCTCATATTTGCATTATGTTACCACAGGTAGCTGAAAATTGTGTTTTAGCTTGCTTTTTTAGGGTACAGGTAAGAAAAAATTAACTTTGAGATACAGTAAAAATTACCCACCTCTAGCTATTATTGGCAAAAATAGTTTAAAACTTTTAAAAATATTTATTTTAAGAGAAGTAACTGATTTAATTTAGTGCACTTTGAGGCTTAAAATTTTAGATGATAATTATTAAGGGAATGAATGAAAATAAGGAAGAGAAGTAAATATCACAGCAATTCCAAGTATCAAGAAAGCTGCTCCTTTCTTCTCTTTTGTGAAGTTGCAGCTGCAGAGGAAATGATTTTTTAAATTCTGATCTGAAGTGCAAAGTATAAAAGCCAGTTTGTTTTTTATGAGTTATTTTTATTGTCTTTTAAATACAATGGGGCAATTTTTGTAATATTCAATAGTAAATGTATATAAATTTCCTTTATATTGTCCCAAACCCAGAAACCCCATTCATTCAGTTAGCAATTATTATCTCTAACTGCTGCTATTCTATGCCAAGTCCTATTTCAGGCACCATAAATATGTACTATTGAACAAAGCAGTGTTCTCATGAGAGATTTTGAATCTCTAACTGCCATATAATCCCTGCTGATGAATGTCATGATTTTAAGATGCAAGAAGAAACTTTCTTATAATAATTTTGACTTGAATGTTTATTTATTTTTTTAAACCCTTAGATAAAAGAAGCCAATTTTTGGGGTGCTAACTTTGTAATGAGTGGTTCTGACTGTGGCCATATTTTCATCTGGGATCGGCACACTGCTGAGCATTTGATGCTTCTGGAAGCTGATAATCATGTGGTAAACTGTCTGCAGCCACACCCATTTGACCCAAGTAAGATGATCTTTTTAGGACAAGGGCTAGATTGTTCAGATGATTCATCAACTCTTTTTCCCCCTACATATTATTATTTAAGAATAATCTAGGACTGGGAAGGTGGCTCAGTGGTAGAGTGCTTGCCTTGCATGCATGAGGCCCTGAGTTTGATTCCTCAGCACCACATAAGCAGAAAAATCTGGAAGTGGCGTTGTGGCTCAAGTGGTAGAGCACTAGCCTTGAGGCTGAAGAGCTGAGGGACAGTGCCCAGGCCCAGAGTTCAGGCCCCATAACCAACCAAAAAAAAAAAAGAATAAATTATCCCACTAAGCAGTGCCTGGTGCTTCTATATCCCTACTTGAATTTAAAACAGAGTCTGAGGCTGGGAAGGTGACTCAGTGGTACAGTACCTGCTTGCCTTGATTGCATGAGGCCCTGGGTTCGATTCCTCAGCACCACATGAGCAGAAAAAGCTGGAGGTGGCGTTATGGCTCAAGTGGTAGAGCACTAGCTTTGAGCTGAAGGGCTGAGGGACAGTGCCCAGGCTCAGAGTTCAGGGCCCATGAACGGAAAAAAAAAAAAAAAAAAGTATGCTTTTGGCAAAAAATCTAAGGAAATGGTTGAAGAGTTTATTCTTCTAATATTTCGTCCAAGTTTTATTATCTATTAGTCTTGCATAACTAAACTTTTTTGTACTAGGACTTGAACTCAGGCTCTTGCTCAGCTCTTTTGTTCATGGTCTACCACTTGAGATACATTTCCACTTCCAGCTTTAGCCTGGTGAATTGGAGATATGAGTATCATGTTTTTTTCTGCCTGAGCTGGCTTTGAACCACTATTCTCAGGTCTCAGCCTATGTAGTAGCTAAGATTATAGACAGTGAGCCATCAGTGCCCAGATTCTAAGATTACTTTTAAGAAATCTTCAAAGTAAGTTAGACTCTGGTACCTCACGGATGTAATCCTAGCTACTTAGAAGACAGATCTGGACATAGTTTGAAGCCAGCCTGAGCAGAAAAATCTGTGAGACTCTGTCTCCAAAATAACTAGCAAATATCCAGGGCTAGAAATGTGCCTCAAGTGCTTGAGTTCCAGCCCAGCAAATTGGCAATTTTGAAGCTCTTGAGTGTAAACCCCCATAACAGAAAAAAAAAATTAGTAGTCAAATGTAAAATTTCCATTTCAACTGAATTTTGCTACATATATGTACATATATACATGCACATATATATATTTATGTATACCTTGACATGTTTTTAATCTCTTCATTAAGATGTAAATTTTATTTCTAGTTCTAGCTTCATCTGGCATTGATTATGACATAAAGATCTGGTCACCATTAGAAGAATCAAGGATTTTTAACCGAAAACTTGCTGATGAAGTAAGATTTTTACTCTTCTGGTTATAGGTCATATTTTAATTTGTTCTTAAAGTATTGTCCTGAGAGAAGGCACTCTATTATTAATTGTTAACTAATTAATATTAATATTTAATATTAGTTGCTAACTAAAGCGGGTTAACAAAGTTAATGATGTCAAATCATTTTAGAGGAAATTAAAGTCAAAGCATGTTTAAATACTAGTGAGATAAAATCAAAATAATATCATGCTAATTGATTATTAATATTAATTATGTTGTAACTTAGGAAAAAGAAGTTTGGCTATTGTACTTATTTCAATAAAAATCATTTAAAAGTTCTTTCATCTTAAGACAGTTTTATCTGATCATGCTGCCTGTGATTCCAGGCTGAGGCAGGCAGGAGGATCAGGAGTTTGAGAATAAATGGGGCTACATAGTGAGACCTTGTATAAAAAAGCAAGAAAAGAAAGGAGAAAGGCTCACACTGTAATCCTAGCTACTGAGAAGACTGAGATCTAAGGATCAGTATTCAAAGCCCAGCCAGGGAAATCTGTAAGACTATTATAGCTTATTGAGCACCCAAAGTACAAGAAGTGGAGCTGTGGCTCAAGTGGTAGAGCACTAGCCTGAGCAAAAAAGCTCAGAGACAACACCCAGACCCTCCTGTACCAAATAAAAACCAAAAACAAAACAACCACAAATGGTTTTACTAAGAGCTTTTCTCCATAATCATAACATTTGCCATGTGCTTTGTCTTTTTTTGGGGGGGGGGGTCCATTCATGGGGCCTGAACTCTGGGTCTGGGCGCTGTCCCTCAGCTCTTCAGCTCAAGGCTAGCGCTCTACCACTTGAGTCACAGCACCACTTCCGGCTTTTTTCTTTTTGCTTATGTGGTGCTGAGGAATCGAACCCAGGGCCTCATGCATGCAAGGCAAGCTCTCTATCACTGAGCTACCTTCCCAGCCCCATGTGCTTTTTTTTTTAAACAGGGTACAAATTTTTTTTTATTGTGAAAATACTGTACAGAGGGGTTACAATTACATGGGCAAGATAATGAGTACATTTCTTATCAAGCATTGTAGCCTCCTCCTTTGTATCCCCTTCCCATCTCTTCCCATCCTCCCCACTCCCTCCTCCCCCTCCCCCCCACCAAAGTTGTAAAGTTCGTTTTTGACATAACGACTTGTACATCTCTTTGTTGCAACGGGTCCACCTGTATCCCTATTTAAAGGATTTGTTTTTCCCCTTCCCCTTCACAAATTATACCGACATCAAATACAGTGAAAGCAGGGGCTATACTGTAGGGGAGGAACATACAAAGCAACAAAGAAATAATCTTATAAATGTGTTAGAAACAATCGCATGAAAGAAAAAAACATTTGAGTACATATCTTAGGGTTCATTTCCCTAACATCACCTTATCTGACCTTTTCTGCTTGACTCAGACGTATACTAGATATTGCAAATAAGGGAAACCATGGGACCTATGTTTCTTTGGGCTTGGCTTACTTCACTGAATATAATTTTTTCCAAGTCTTTCCATTTCTTAACAAATGGGGCAATGTCATTCTTTCTGATGGAAGCATAGAATTCCATTGTGTATATATACCACATTTTCTTGATCCATTCATCTACTGAGGGGCATCTGGGTTGGTTCCATATCTTAGCTGTAGTAAATAGTGCTGCAATAAACATAGTTGTGCTGGTAGCTTTAGTGTGGTCTTGTTTGTAAACATTTGGGTAAATGCCCAAAAGTGGGATTACTGCGTCATAGGGGAGCTCTATGTGGAGTCTTTTGAGGAACCTCCATACTACTTTCCAAAGTGGTTGAACTGCCATGTGCTTTTAATGCTTTTTTTTTCCTTTGCTTAGGCTGTCTCTAGGTGTTCAGGAACATTTAGTACTGCATGGGGTTCTTGAGACACAATTCATTGTGATATGATTCTGGGTTTTTTTTTTTTCATAGAAAGCTAGAAAGGAGGGCTGGGAATGTGGCTTAGTGGTAGAGTGCTTACCTATCATGCATGAAGCCCTGGGTTCGATTCCTCAGTACCAGATACACAGAAAAAGCCAGAAGTGGCACTGTGGCTCAAGTGGTAGAGTGCTACCCTTGAGTAAAAGAAGCTCAGGGACAGTGCCTAGGCCTTGAGTTCAAGCCCCAGGACTGGCAAAAAAAGCAAAAAGAAAGTAAATACTACTTTCTCTTCCAAAATCACAAGGAAACAGAACGAATAATTAGACAATCTTTTATTATTTTTAAGATTTCCTTAGCTTCTTATTAAAGCAAAATTTTTCAAACTGATCTTTGTATAGATCTGTTTCTTACCAATTTTTGAGAAAAGAGGTTTGTGATATGTACAAATGCTGAACTTTGAAGGGTTCTCTTCTCAACTTCAACTAGGGCTTTTATTTGTGAAAATGAGCATCTACTATTGAAGCTGTAATTTAGAAGATCATTGTTCTATACCAATGTTAAAATTTCATAGCATAGGTTCCATATATATTTTCATTTAATACCAATTCATAAAACACTTGATGTTTATCAAACAGTACTGGTTTAACAAAATAATACCTCAGAATTTATATTCTAATGAGAAAGACATAAAAATACTAAAAGTTTCCACAGAAGAAATCAGAATTGGTCTTAAGTTTGCTGCAGGTAGACAGAAGCAAAGAGCTTTTGAGAAAGAAGTCTCAGCATGTGCCAAGTTAGTATAAGGTAAGTGAAGCATCATTGTGATGAACCTTAAAGTACATGTACAAAAGTAGTTCATAGACTAACAAGAGAGGTGAGACAAGATTTTAAGGACTGAGTACCCTAATGAATCAGGAATTTATTGTTAAATTATTGAGGAACTGTTGATCAGGTTAACGTCATTTTCTTCCTTAAATTATTTTTGTTTGTTTGAGATAGAGCCTCACTATGTTGCCCAGACTAATATTTGTCTCACAATTCACAAACCTGTATCAGTCTATTTAGTACTGAATTATAGGTGTGAGTCACCACCACACTTGACATCATGCTGTCTTTTCTTCCTTTTTTTTAACCTTTGCCATGTACTTTTAATGCCTTTTTTTTCTTGTCGCTAGGTGTTCAGGAACATTTAGTACTATGTGGTGTTCTTAAGATACAATTCATTGTGACATCTTCCCAAACTTTTTTTTCCAAAATTACTTTCTCCAGACCTCAATACTACCAAAATATAATAAATAAAACAAAATAAATGTTTTTATGCTGCAAATGTTTTAATGATTATTGTTGAGCATACATTTTGGAAATTTACTTAAAACTGCTACAAGTTTAAATAAATGTTTATAAAATACAAAGAAAATACAACCAAACATAAAACGTGCTTCAAGTGTGCCTTGCCCTTAGACCAGTGTTTCCCCTCCCTTAATATATTTTTTATTTTTGAGCTGCACAAACATACTTAAGAATTTGATCTTTATATTTGGCAGTTAGAAAATAAAAATATACTCTCACCTCAAAGAAATAAAAAAGTTGTGCATAATTATTGCTAAACAAAAGAGAGAACACTAGAATACTAGATAATGCACGTACCATTAAAATGAAAAAGAAAAATTTTGCCTTAATCAAAGTGATATATTCTCAAGCAATCAAAGTGACCTCAGGATGATAAACTGAACACTGTTAATAGTAATAGCAATTTTGGTAATAGTAATAATAATTGTTATTTTTACTAAATAATAATTTAATACTGCTATGTCACTTCTGCTATAGGAGACAGTAAAAGCCAACACAAAGTGAACTTTTCTAGAAAGCTCTAAATTTAAGTACTTTTACACGTAAAAGCTAAATTGAATTCTTAAACACTATAAGTTGTCTCAGTGTTTGACCTTTGTCTTTAGGCCACCTTAAGAATAGTAGTACTTTCTTATCTTACTTAAATGCAAGGTGAAGTAATTATTTGGCACCAAAGCACATGATTTATCCTTACTTTATTTACCTTAAAGCAGAAATATAGACATCACACAAATAAAGAAATAATTCTTCTAGGACCTGATAATTGTTTATTGTTTTCTTAATCTTCAAGAAAAAATATCATTACTCTATGATCTTTAACACTGTTGTTTAAATTGCCTTTAGGTTATAACACGAAATGAACTCATGCTGGAAGAAACTAGAAACACTATTACAGTTCCAGCTTCGTTCATGTTGAGGATGTTGGCATCACTGAATCACATCCGAGCTGGTAAGAACTTCTGTTGTACCATTAAAATCATTGCTATATTCGAAAAAAATTAAGATCTATTTTAAAGAGATTTATGTATTTTTCTTAATATCACAAAATAAAAGCAACTTCTGAAATTAATTTTTATGAATCCTTGACCTTAGCATTAAAGTTATTGAAAAATGGTATATAAGAAGGTTACTTGAAAACATTTATCAACTTTTCTCTCATTGTACAGAGCACATGATAAGCCTTTAGATATTTTAAATATATTTTAATAGGTTTATTCAAAATCAATAATAGCCTAGCTAAGAAATATACTATGTCAAACAGTAAAACAAATACTATATAATATGGATTATCTATAACATACCAAGTATACTAATCATTTCACAGAAATACCCTCATTTAGTTTTAAACCTTAACAAAGTACATTATTTTTAGGAAGGTATCCTAGGCCATACACCTAATAAACATTAAAGTCTGAATTTGAAACTAATTTCCAAGCCCTTATTTTCCCTGTGGCCTATAAACTTATCTTATGCAAGCCATTACTATGAAATACAAACCTCTGGATGATTTAATGTCAAATGACTTTCTTATTACTACATTCTTTGTAACATCTCCAGCCACTCTTTTAGCCCTCTTTAAAAGTGGGGAATACACCAAAATCTCTAACCTTAAAGTTGTTATATTGTCCACCTCCATCCTCACTTTTCGTTCAAATAACTTCTACTGTCATATTATGTCTATATAAACAATACATTCAATACCATTTCCTCAGATTCAGTAGGGAAGAAGAAGTAAGTATTCTAGGTACAATAAATAATCATGTGACATTTTCCTAAGCCATAGAGCACATTTGAAAAATTGAAAAAGCATTATATCTTTGTAATTAAGTTAGAGAATAATAATTCAAATTATAAATACTGTTACTAGGAAAATGGAAAATTTTAACTGGGAAAAACAAAAAATAAACCTAAAATGTAAACAAAAAATGTTAGTACCATAACAATTTTTTACAATATTTCTTTGGATTCCTGCATTAAATTAGTCACTGTGCCTTCATTTGATCCATTTTCTTCAATAACAAGTAATCCTTAATATTCGTCTATTGGATTTCAGAGTTTAAAAAGCAGCATATTACAAATAAAGAAAAACATTTGTTAATGATCACTCCTAAAATGTGCATGTTTTTATTGTTTATGTGATGGTCCGCTCTTTTGTAGAGTTAGCCTATAAGAAAGTAGTTTTTGTTACAGGTGCAATAGTTTGTTAGGAAATAGCTACCACCAGTTTCTTGGAATTTAGAATAGGTAGGTATTTTATGGTATAAATATTCCCTTTTCATTTCCATATCCTTTTGCTAGTAATGAATAGGCAATTTAAACTGCTTTAAGTAGATTTTCTTGCTTCTCTTTTGCAAAAGACTAGACAAAGTACCCAAAAGTTTGTATTTATTCTTTTATCCCCGAGAGATTAAAAAAAAAAGATGGTTATTTGATAGGTCTATTAGTCAGCTATTCTTTTCCTCTTCTGTTCTCAAGTTCAGTTTCAAGGGAGTTTGGAGTATACATTGACCAAATGGGTACATTTTAGCCACAGGTTATTTCATCCCATCTATTATTCCAGGTTTGAAATTTTATTTACCTGTGGTACTGGGGTTTAAACTTAGGGCCTAGAGCTTTGTAGGCAAGCACTTGAACTATGTCCCTAACCACTTTTCACTTTAGTTATTTTCAGAATATGCTTTTTTTGCCCCTGGCCGTTCTCACACTTAGGTCCTTCTACCCAACTTCCCTTATAAGTAGCATGTTTGACTTATTTGTTGAGATGGGGTGTAGATAAGATTTGCATGGGCTGGCCTTGATCTATAGTCCTCTCAATTTCTTCCTCCCAAGTAGATGATATTATATAGATATAAGCCATTGTGCCTACTATAGATCTTTAATGAAAGATCCTTTTCAAATTACCTCTGGGGCTTGTTTATGTGTACTAGGATTTTAACTAAGGGCCTTAAACTTGTTAGGTAAGCACTCTTCCATTTGAGCATATCACAGACATTCCTCTGGGGCTTTTATAATTAAAAAAATTAAATTTAAAATGCCAAATACAGATAATTGAAGATTCTTACATATATTTATTTTGGGGGGGTGGGGGTATCGGTTGTGGAGCTTGAACTCTGGGCCTGGGCGCTGTCCCTCAGCTCTTCAGCTCAAGGCTAGCACTCTACAACTTGAGCCAAAGTGCCACTTCCAGCATTTTCTGTTTATGTGGTGCTGAGGAATTGAACTCAGGACCTCACGCATGCAAAGCAAGCATTCTACCAGTGAGCCACATTCCTAGCCCCTGAATATATTTTTTGTTTCTTCTTTTTGGGGGGGGGGGGGTCCGGTAGTGGGGCTTGAACTCTGGGCCTGGGCGCTGTCCCTCAGCTCTTCAGCTCAAGGCCTAGCGCTCTACCACTTGAGCCACAGCGCCACTTCCGGCTTTTTCCTTTTTTCTTATGTGGTGCTGAGGAATCGAACCCAGGGCCTCGAGCATGCAAGGCAAGCGCTCTATCACTGAGCCACCTTCCCAACCCCCCTGAATATATTTTTTAAGGCAAGAAAAATTGGTCATAGGGATATTAATTCAGCAGCATTTGCCTAGCATGCACAAGACAGTATGTTCCTATGTTCAGTCCCCTGGCAAAAGCAATCAAAATTATTTTCAATAATAATGCACTTAAGATTCCTCATCTAAGCCTGGCGCCAGTGGCTCACGCCTGTAATCCTAGCTATTCAGGAGGCTGAGATTTGAGGATCTCGGTTCAAAGCCAGCCTGGGCAGGAAAGTCCGTCAGACTTTTATCTCCAATAAACCACTAGAAAACTGGAAGTGGCACTGTGGCTCAAGCGGTAGCGTGCTCGCCTTGAGCTGAAGAGCACAGGGACAGCACCCAAGCCTAGAGTTTAAGCCCCACAACCGACCAAAAAAAAAAAGATTCCTCATCTAGACTATATAAAGGTTGTCCAATATCCCGAGAGGCTTTGAAAGGATAATAATGTTATAGATTAACCATTTAGAATCTTTTAGAATATCTTTAAATCTGAACATGTTTCTACCCTATTTAAAATTCTTCTGTGCCTCCTCATGTTCTCTGGATAGAGTTTATATGTATTAGCATGTCTTACATGAATTGTACATTATCACTTGAAATTCATCCCTTCATACCTCTGGATTGCAGCATGTGGAAATGTATAGTGTTTTTCTGGATGGGTTTGCAAAGTTTGTCATCAGAACATCCGAATCAGAACCTCTCACTCTCATTCAGCTTTCTTCTAGTCACTGCTGGCATTCTACTCCTTGAGCCACCCCTTCAGTTCTGGCCTTTGCTGGTAAATTGGAGACAGCAGTCTTTCAGATTTGGCTGCCGAGGCTAGCTTCAAACCATGATCCTTAGATCCATCTTCATGAGTAGCTAGGATTACAGATGTGTGAGCCACTAGCACCTGGCTCAAGTGACAGTCATTCAGCTGATGACCCCCTTTTTTAAAAACACAAATTAGATTATATCACTCCCTTTAAAATTCTTAAGAATCAATAGCTTACCCATTGCTCCTAACATTAAAACCCCTGATTCTTTTGTGATCTACTAGTTCCTAAATAACCTAAACCCTGCTACCCTCTAATTTCTACTTCCAGCTCTGTTTTATTCCTCATCCAAGATTGTTAATACATTTAAGACCTTTTACTCACTGTTGCCTCTGCTTGAAATATTTGGCCCCAAAACTTTATATACAACTGAAAACGGAAAGCAATGTTACGTGCCTCCTCAGGAGTCCTCTCTGACCACTGTCTTCAGTTGCTTTCTGTGCCTTTTTTTAGTCACACTCAGTTCATTGATTTATTGTCCTCAGGTACTTATCACTAACTTTTCATTTCTTTTTTGCCTTATTCAGATTAAAGAAGAAAAATACATTTGTTGTCTTGCTTGTTTTCATTCTTTCTCTAGAAAGTAATCTTATGAAAAACAAGTTTTTGTTGCTTTGTTTTGCAGTTCTGAGAATGAACCTAGGACTCACACATAGTAGGCAAGCAAATGCCCTACCACGTAGCTGTATCCCCAGCTGCATAGATCTAATATGTCCTCTCTGCAACTGCATTTTTAGCTAGAACAGCACCTAAACATAATATTCAGTAAATATTTGGTAAATAGATGTGTAAATGAATGAACTTCTAATATCAAATCTTTGGCCATTGATACATTTTGTATATATTATTTTTCTTAAGAAAATAAATTCTTGGGCTGGGAAGGTGGCTCAGTGGTAGAGCATTTGCCTTGCATGCCTGAGGTCCTGGGTTCGATTCCTCAGCACCACATAAGCAAAAAGAAAAAAGCCGGAGGTGGCACTGTGGCTCAAGTGGTAGAGTGCTAGCCTTGAGCTGAAGAGCTGAGGGACAGCACCCAGGCCCAGAGTTCAGGCCTCACGACCGCCCCTCCCCCCCCCAAAAAAGAAAGAAAATAAATTCTTTGCAAATCATAATATGTAAAATAAGACATGATTTTTATGGAATACAATTTTCCTTTGGAAATTTTTTCTCTTATCTCCCTTCTCTCTCCTTCGTCAGCAAACATTGTATCTCTTTTTATTATCTTTCTGCAAATATAAACTTACTTATAAAATCAATTTGGCACTGGCTACTTTTGAAAGCAATAAATATAAAAGTGATTACTATTTCCAGATTTCATTTAAAAGAACACAGTGTAGTTCAGACCTCTTTGGTCTGTAATTGCCAAGTAAAGATTTGTGGAAATGTTAACTTGTTTGCATTACTACTTTAGTAGCACTTCATGAATAGAAATTTTTCATTTAATTTAGTTTTAGAAAGTGAGTTTTTCACTTTGAGGTGACTGTGGCAGTTAGAGAAGCTGGATTTGAGGAGAGACTGACAGCTCTGCCCACATTTCAGAAGCCACAGACTGTTTTCTTGCACCCTGTTGAAGGAGACTCTTGACCCTCACTTGTCTATAGTGCCTGCTGTGGACTATAGAATTATAGCCGTAGCTGCAGACCTCATGATTTAAAGCTTGCAATGATTCTTCTTTATTCTCTATTTCCCTATCATCATTTATAGTGTAACAACCAAAAGAAACTTAAGCTCTCTACTTTAAATAGGCTGAAACTGCTGCTCCACGCTTTGTTAACATGACAGAATAGATTTCTTGAATCTGGTTCACCATATCCAGAATTTCCTTTTATAATATATACATTCGCAGAACAGCAATTGAATGTTTTGTGTTTCGTGGAAGTTATCACTTAATAAAAATAATGTAATCCCACAGGCCCTGGATTCAATACCCAATATAGGCCTCCCCCAAAAAAGTGCTTGTTTTTATATTAATATTCCTTAGTTTTAAGTATTTTGTCAGAAATTCATCCACTGTATTTCAGTTCCTTAATAATCTATGAAGTCTATTTTGTTCATTGGTTTACATGTATGTACTGATTGCTTATATAACAGTTAAATAATCTAATTAAGGTTATAAATCACACACACACACACACACACACACATATAAAATCTCCCATTTTGTCATTGGAATGTAATTCGCTTGTATATTTACATATATAGTCCCTTCTCTAAACTGATGTGTAATCCAGTAAGAATGTTTAAGCCTCTGTCAATAATAGCAATACAGCCGGGCACAGGTGGCTCACGCCTGTATGATCTGAAGATCATAATTCAAAGCCAGCCAGGGAAAGAATATCCATGAGACTCTTATCTCCAATTAAACACCAGAAAACTGGAAGTGGTGCTGTGGCTAACGTTGTAGAGCACTGGCCTTGAGCTGAAGAGCTCAGAGAAAGCACCTAGGTCCATGACCCATGACCAACAACAACAACAACAATAATAATAACAATACAGAGTTTATTTCTTTCTGTGAACAGTGGAACTGAATTTTCTTTTATCCCTGACCTTAATATTCTCCATATTACCTTGGAGAAATGTTTCTGTGGCATAAATGACCTAAATTCCATCCTGTGGCAATTTTATGTTGTTGCCTTCATATAATATAATGTGATTTAGCTTATCTTCATAAATCTTATATTCAGTCAGGTGCCAATGGCTTGTGCCTGTAATCCTAGCTACTCAGGAGGCTGAGCTCTGAGGATTATGGTTCAAAGGCAGCCTGGGCAGGAAAGTTAGTGAGATTCTTACCTCCAATTAACCACCAAAAAGCTGGAAATGGAGCTGTGGCTCAAGTGGTAGAGCAAAAAGGCTCAGGAACAGCCCCCAGGCCATGAATTCAGGCCCCAGGACTGGCACAAAAATAAATAAAATTATACTTAAAATACATTTATTTAATAAACTTGCATTGAGGGACTGGAGTTGGAGCTCGGTGATAAAGTTCTTACCTAGCACACACAAGCCCCTTTTATCACAGAAACAACAACAACAAAAACCTAAGCAAAACATCATTAATGAACAGCCTTTATTAGATCCTCAAGATATAAAGATAGAAATCTCTCGCCTTCTCCTAAGAGCACACAGTCTAGTCTGTGTTGTTTATCTAGACAGATAAACAACTATTATTTCAATTGGAATCATTATGAGGAGATTCATAGAAGACATTCTGAAATTTGGAAAAGTGAATTCATATCTCTGCAGAGTAGGTATTTGAAAAGGTCAGGGTAATAATAGTTGAATTGTGCAAGTCTTTATTGCTAAAGAATTGAAGAAAAGTATTACTAGCAAAGAACTACAAAGCATGACTGATTTAAGCTTGAAAGAACATACTTCATTCACTCACCACAATAGTCCTCCTGATCTCAACTTCCCAAATGGCTAGGATTACATGCATGACACCAGTGCCTGGCTTAATTTTAAGAAATCTTTTTTACAAACTGAATTACACAGTCTTCCAGAACGTGATCTCTATATTCTCTTACAACCTCCCTCTTTTCACATTCTTTTTTTTTTTCTTTTTTTTTTTTTTTCAGTCGGTCGTGGGTCTTGAACTCTGGGCTTGGGCACTGTCCTTGCGCTCTTCAGCTCAAGGCAAGCACTCTACTGCTTGAGCCACAGCACCACTTACGGTTTTCTAGTGGTTCATTGGAGATAAGTCTGATAGGATTTCCTGCCTGAGCTGGCTTTGAACCTCAATCCTCAGATCTCAGCCTCCTAAGTAGCTAGGATTACAGGCGTGAGCCACCAGTGCCCAGCTTCACATTCTTTAATAGCACCTAATATACCTCCTTAAAACTTAGTTTCCAAGGAACTCTGTGAAAACCACTGCAGGAAAATGTAATCTAGTAAAATCTCCGGAGTTGTTTTTATATATTTTAGAATTACATGCATAGCCAAAGCTAATGGTGCAGTGTATTTTTCTTTTTTCCTTTACCTCTACAGGCAACATTTAAAATACTTAGCTATACCTAATGTGAACTGATCTTCACATATTTATGTGTTGAATTAATTACATTTTACTAGCGTTAAATAGATTGAAATTATGTATAATTGCATGCTAAAAGTATTTCTTTTTGTGATTCTCATATCTTTCTTTCAAGACCGATTGGAGAGTGACAGATCAGAAGGATCTGGTCAGGAGAATGAAAATGAGGATGAAGAATAATCAACTTTTTGGCAAGCACTTAGATGTTCTGAAATTTGTATGAGACATTTGTTATATTTTTTTCTTTACAGAACTTTAGTGCAATTTTAAGGCTCTGGTTTCTTTGGAGCTTTTCCCTTTGGGGGATGACTTACCATTGGTTTGGAATGACTGTGTGCATGAATTTGGGAGAGTGTGTAAACAAAACTAGCAAAATGTTTTAAAAACTTTTTGTCATGTATGAGGAGTGCTAGAAAAGACAAAGTGCAATATTTTCCCTAACCTTCAGATGTGGGAGCTTGGATCAATGTTGAAAAGTAATTTTCATTATAGTGGAAATGTTGGTTCAAATAAATTTCTACACTTGCCATTTGCATGTCTGTTGCTTTCTAATTAAAGATATTTGTTGTTATAAGTTATCCTAAATCTGACTTTTTATTGAATGCCTATTTTGGTCTACATTTTCCAAACTTTTCTTTAACAAAAGAGGTCTATCTTTCCCTGTTTTCCAAATTCAGTCATCTTTTTCCATGTTGATTTCTGTTTCATAGCGTCATATACAATGATTTTATTCAGTTATCTTTCCAAAGTACTTTATCTTCATCTCTCATTACTGGTCTTCATCTCTCATGAACTGGTACCTTATCACATCTCAATCGCGGAGCATCATGCTTAGTTCACATCTTAGACTCTAATAAAGGCACTTGCTTCTGCTCTACCTGTCTCCATATTCCAGCTGTCAATGCAAGTCAGTAATAATCCGGTCTTCTAATTTCATCTTAACTATAGTGTCCACCTCCACTCATGCCAGGCTTATAGACTATACCTGAAAATGGTCCCACCCACTTAAGTTTTCATTCTGCTTGTATCTTTCCTTCAATCTAATTTTATGCTCACTAAAGCATACTAATTATTTTCCCTCAAATTATATGCTCACATCTCTTCAATCCATTACATAATAATTTTCTAATTTTATTCTATATATTTTTGCTTCTTTTTTTCTCCCTTTTCCTTTTCTTTCCCCTCCCCTACCCTCCCTCCCCTTCCTCTTCCCTTCCCTTTCCTCTTTCCTTTCCTTTTCGTACTTCAATGTTGGGAATTAAATCTAGGGCTTCATACATGCTAGACTAGCACTCTGCCCCTGAAAATCTTTATATACTTTCTAATGTCTCTTGTCCTCTAGTCATCCATGGTCATTATCAGTGGTACCGACTTACCAGGTGAGAAAAAGTACAGTTAGTTTCCTGTTTCATGATCCCTTGAAGGCAAAAAATCAGGCTTGGCACAATGGTGTGTCCATTACCATCTAGTGTGTGCCGGCTCACTCTTGCTCGATCTCACCCACCCTCCTTCTTTATCCTTTCCGTCTCCCACATAGGCATTTTCTTTCATCTATTTCTGAGGTGATGCATTAATTGTCCTTTAAGAAGGAGGTGCCTTTGATTATCCAGTTAGTATTTGGCAACTGTCTCACTTGTAAAGGACAGCAATTAACCTTGGCAGATGGAAGTGCACCACACATTTGAAATGATCATTGAACTCATTTTAAGACAGCTATCTAGGACTGCCAGAATTATAACACTACCACAGAAAGTAAAGCATTGGAGTTATTTACAGAGAGATAGATGCATGTGATACCTCATCCATCACTATCGCCTTAAACTCTAGTTCTCATCCATGTTCTGAAGGGCAGTATCTCACCCTCAGTGGCTGCATTGTTGGTAGATAAGAATACAGTGCCAATACAAATCTGATAGTCTATGTAGTCAATCATCTCAGCCCCCTCTCTTTTGATGCTTTTAGTGTATTTGGTATAATAGTTGTCTTTTGTTATAGAAAGTAATACTTCCCTTTTGATTTAATTAGCAGGTAGTTTACATGTTCCTGTTATTTCCAGAAGTCTAAATATTCTAGAGAAGAAGAGTCTAAGCCAAATACTAAGAGGAAGACATAATCTACTCCTAAATTGTCCATGAACAGTCTTACAGCTTGAGTAGATGATTGCAAACCCAGGAACGCCTACTGTTGACAAAAAAAAATAGGTTAGCTCTTGTCATAGAAGAAATTAGCTCTTTAGTTGGCTTAATAAGCTCAACTGGACTTAATATCTAGCTCCTATTCTAGACATACACATCCATAGTAGAAATCCTGTTAAATGGCCAAAGGGGTGAAGGAATCAGAGCTTGAGTTACAAGATAAGTGTATGACTTTCTGGAAAGTACAAAGGTCTTGATTTCTGGCTCCCAATTAGTTATGAGCCCTGCTCAAGACATCTGATTCCTTTGGGTTTCTGTTTCCTCCTCTCTAATGTCATAAGAGGATCATATTTGCCCCCACCAACTGTCACAAGCTGTTAGGACCACAACACACAATATGATGTTTCTTTTGGCTATAACAGTATAGTGAGGTGTTGGGAAATTGAGGAATCAGGCTACTGCTATTGAAGAACTAAGGTCAAGGAGTAACTGGCAGGAAAAGTAATAGAAAAAAACCAAAACTCTCCATCTGGTGCAGGATGCTGATGGTGTGTGTGTGTGTGTGTGTGTGTGTGTGTGTGTGTGTGTGTATGTGTGCTCTGTGTGTTTTGAGGGGCAAGAGATTGGGAATTCATGTTCTGCTTATTCTTTTTTTAATATATTTTTATTGTAAAGATACTATACAGAGAGGTTACAGTTACATGAACAAGGTAATGAGTCTATTTCCTATGGGTTCTGCTCATTTTTTACACCTAAAACATCTCTAAATTTTTTTAAATTTACCAAAAGGAATTAGGGCTCCTACCCATAGCAATTCTGTAGACAATTATGGTGTCACTACTTAGGAATATAGCAGCCCAGACAAGTAGTCTGGGAGGCAGCAAAGAGTTAACAAATCTTGCCTGATTGGGTGGGGGAGGGAGGGACTGGAGGTACATCGAACAGACCTCTAAAACTTAGGTGAGCAGGAAAATGGAAGGTGACTTCAATTATGGTGGGTAAAGGGGTCAGAAGAAGGTGGTGGGTTTTCCTGCCCTCCTTGTGTCTTCATGTTGTAATCTACCACTCAGCCTCTTTGACTTTGATTATGAGATGGAAAATATGATTCTTTTGATTAGTTGATAAATGGCAGATCAGTAACGTTCATTAATACTCCACTGAAAACTTTGGATTTAGGATGTTTTATGTACATGATACAAACCAGTCATTTAACAAAAGTTCATGAATTTAATTGACTTGAGGGAGTTTATGAACTGGTATAGCATGAATGGCTGTAACAAGCAACTTTAATATAGAAAACCCACTTGTGTAATAATCTGTCCTTAATCTTTACTAGCTTATAGAAAGATTGAAGATAGGCTGCAGAAAAGGGAGAGGTGCCAGAAACATCCACAGACCACAAGTCCAAGTATAAATTCACAATTTTTACAACTATACAAATACCAAATACATTTAATCAGGTAAACAAAACTTCTCTAAATATACTTATTTATAAATACTGATTTCTAATAATCCCAACCATTTTTGATCTCCTAAAAACATCCAAAAATGTTAAATATATTTTCAGGATTAGCTTGAGTTTTGTTCTTTGAAGTGTGGGTTTGAGCCATTTCTGCCTCTCCGTGTCTATTATCAACACAGCTCGTCCACATCACACATTCGCAGACCCACTTCAGGAACACAGGCTTCCTACTGCACTCAGAATGATCTCCACCTCAGCCTATGATCCTCCAGGACTACCCTTTTCCCCTGGGAGGACTGACTTCTGTTGTGCTATTGCTATTCTCTTGTGCTATTGCCTGCTAAGGATGACTTAACTGGTGCTATTTCAAAATGGTGTCAAAAAGTCAAAAACAGAAATGGCTACTAATCTCTTTTTTTTGGGGGGGGGGGGCGGTTGTGGGGCCTGAACTCTGGGCCTGGGCACTGTCCCTCAGCTCTTCAGCTCAAGGCTAGCGCTCTACCACTTGAGCCACAGCGCCACTTCCAGCTTTTTTCTTTTTTCTTATGTGGTGCTGAGGAATCGAACCCAGGGCCTAAGGCATGCAAGGCATGCCTGAGTCACCTTCCCAGCCCAAAGGGTTACTAATTCTTAAGTGGCTAATACATCTGTGGAAAATGCTTTCAGGGGGAAATGAACACAGCTTTGTGTGTTACATTCTAAAAATAACAGACCAAAATTGTGCTCTTTGTAATTTTGTACAGATTTGAGTTTGTGTTCTGCATTCTTTCCAGCAAGGTAATCACTTTCCTTCATGGCCTGTTGTATCCTGGAGCTTTTAAGTGGCTCTTTTCTTCTCTCAGGCCAATATGAAAGACCAGAGTTTACCTGTGAACTCACTTTTAGACCTTGGTCAACTTCACTTGGTCCTCCTGGATTCTTTTATGTCTCCTCTACTTGAACCTTAAGAGCAGCACCAGACTTCTGCTGCTTGTTGTCATTTGTGGCTGGTTATAGCCACATTTCTGTGTCAAGTGAAGGTTTATTTCCCCTTTCTCTCGCACAGGCTTCCTCTGGACTCTACATATATACACTGCCAGTAATAGGGTATATCCTATTTGTGCCCTCAGACTCTTGGAAGGCTTCATGGTTCTGTGAGCCAAGAGCTATAACCATAGCTGTCCTTAGCACCTAAAGGTACGTCTTAGTAAAAGGAAATCAAAACTGAGTTTTGTTGTGGATTTGGGATTTTCCTTAATAGCCATTCAAGGCAATTTATAAATACTTTATCATCGTATTAAGTGAGTGTGAGCATGGAGGAAAGACATTCTAACAGGAATGTTCATTTTGTGCTTGGACAGACGGCATGTATTCAGATGTTACCCAGCCTATCCTCTCTCCTTTCTACTACCTTCCCTTCCCTTCCACATTCTGTTTCCCAGAACTCTTTCTGTGTTACACAGAAAATGACAATTCCCATGGCAACAACTCTAAATACTTCTAATCTAGTATAACACTTCTTGTTAGAGATCCTTGTAAAATAGTAATGACTCTACCCCCTCACAGTTCCACTGAGAAGCCACTAGCTCATTTTTACCTGTACCCAAGGTACTATGCTGGATGCTTACAGATTCTTCCTGTAATCTAGTTACCCTACAAAGGCAGCATCCTGAATTCCTATGCAGGAATACTGAATAACCTGCCCCAAAACACCCAGCTAAGAAGCAGCAGCATAGGGTCTGAACTGTGAACAGCCATACTCACATGGCACTATTTCCTCTACATTCCATCTGCACACAGCAGCTCTGCGAAAGAGAATAAAGAATATAAGCACCAGGTGGCCATTGTCTCAATTGTAATCCCTGTTGCCCAGTAGTGGTGATTTGCTTGTTTGTACATCTGAGTACAGGCAGTACCTATTAACTTAGACGGGGTGGGTCTCACATATTAGAAGAATTGTCAGGGCTGAGGAGTGCAATCATGGCTTGGTTCAA